GCGGAGAGGGAAGTCTGGGAGTCTCTGCTTAGTCTGCTGCCCCCGCGACCCGGTTCCAGATAAAGTGGGAGACAATGAGTACTAAAAGCAGCAAACCTAAAACTAGTGTTTAATTAAAACAAAGTTTAAAAAAAGCAACCCTCTGGACTTTTTTTCTAAGTTTAAAGACGTTTCTCTTCCATCCAGGAAGATTTTTCAATTCAAAATGTCAGAAATAGTGTTGAGTTCCAGGTTTTATCCATTAACCCAACAAAGCCTTGTTTTTGTTTAGAAAACTTGCAAATTGAAACGGATGAACGGGTCCACCCCTTTGGAATGGGGGTCGTTTGGCTTCTTTGTTAGCCTGCAATGCCCCATAGCTTTCTATGTCTCTGTAAGGGGGGTCGTTAGAGGGAATTGCTGGCCTGGCTGAATACGCGAGGTCTTCTGTTCCCCTGTAAAGGGGTTGGGGCTGCGATGATAGCAGGAAGGAATCAACTCAATTGCTGAATTGTAGGTTTTTTAAAGCTGAAACCTGAGTCCACCCCCTCTGTTCAGCTTTCAATAATCCAAGTCAGCTACTATATATATGTAAAGAAATCATATTCCAGGACACAACAATTTTTTAATGCTTTTGTGTACTATATGCACTCTTTTTATATTGTCTTTTGTATTTTTATCTTTAATGGCATTTTGCTTTAACGCTGTCTTTTGTACTATATATAAGCTACTGGAACCCGAATTTCCCTGAAGGACTAATCCCAAGGGATAAATAAAGTTGAGTCTAAGTTTTGGTCAATGTGTCATAAAAGTGATAAACTGACAAAAACTGATCACTAAAGGTACGTTTACACCAAATGTGACAAATTTTCTGCATAGATTACCTGGCAGTGGCTGCTTGACAACTTAGCTCCTTGTCACAAATGATTTGCAATGCAATGCTTCCTCATATCACCCCCTTCCTCAAATCACTTCACCGGCTTCCTGTCGCACTCAGAATCGAATACAAGGTCTCCCTCCTTACCCACCAGTGCATCCATGGTGATGCACCACCATACCTTGAGGAACTTCTCACCCCACAGAGCTCAACACGTAACTGATCTACTGCAATATATCTGCTGAAACCACCAAGGATAAAGCTTCGTTCAATGGGAGATCGGGCTTTGTTTTCAGCTGCTCCCAGGCTGTGGAACGTTCTCCCTGGCCACCTGAGGACCCCACAGACTGTGGATGCTTTTAAACGTGGCCTTAAAACCCAGAGAGATTTTAATTGAACTTTCCCACCTTCTTTTTTTTTATTATCTTTGATTATTTTAACTTTTCTTTTACTTTTTATTCCTCCATGTATTTTTATTTAGTATTTACCTGTTTTATTATGTAGCACTTTGGGATTTGTTTAAATATAAACTGCATTACAAGTCCAAAGTATTATGGCAAGGTGTTTTATCACAATTTCTATCATAGATGTCTATTATTTGATTTTGACTAGATAACACTGGAATTACAGATCTGTGTAATTCCGTTTTGAGAAAGCAAAATCAGCAACAAAAAAAAAAGCTTCTATGAATATCCAGTCAAGCTTACATCATGTAATTAAGCAGGAAGAGCTTGTATCTGGTTTCTGAGTCAATGGGGCCATTTTGAAGTATAATGCAAAGCAACACCATCTGCATTGGCTCCCACAGGTAAAGCTCTTAGGGGTGCTCAGGACGCAGGTGGAGGCTCTCCAGCTACAGGGAAACTGTTCAACCTCCTATGAGTTTTTGAATGAAAAATCTTCCCCTCAAGGTTCTCCTTCACCATTATTGCTGAATTCACATTCGGTGTGAATGTACCTTAATAGCTGCAATGTCTCCTTGTACTCTACTATATACGCTACTTATTTCAATATTCCATCTACTACTCTATTTAATTATCCTAATCCTAGAAAATTATTTCATTTTTTATTAATAAACTATAATTTTGTAGTTGTTTGTATTTTTGACTGGAATGGATACAAACCTGTACTAAAATTGCTTAAATGGTAGAAGTTAGACCTGCAGCAATTGCGCTAACTAGTATTCGGTTCATAATCATTTATATTACAATTTACTTTGAAACATTAAAACTAAAAATTAAACACATACAAATTCAAACTAAATTATCTTCTGGGGATTATTTGTATAAAGGTGATTCCATATCCTGAGATTCATCTTTACAGAAACTTTCTTACTTCTCTGCAGACGTTCAGCCAGCTCCTTCTGCTTCATCATCCTCAGGAAGTTCAGTGTGATTTCCACAAAAGCTTCTCTGCTGCTCCTCCTTTGCTCTTTATCTTCACCTTCCAGCCCATCCTCATCCTCCCATTGACTATCTGTGCTTTCTAGGTCACATGAACTCAAAACCTGCTGGATCTTCTTTAGCTCGTTTTTCACAAACTCAATGATGTTACCCTCCAGCAGCTGAAAATAGAAAAACAGGAAAGACAAAATAGGCCGTGATCATGGAACAAAACATCACATCCACGTTAGACAAACTGACAGTTTGTTCAGTAAACTGCAGCATGGAGATAAATGTGAACAAAATCTATGGAACAATTAGTTGTTATGTGTACAGACCACAAATATAGATTCCAGCTGGTTTTGATTCTGCTTGGCAGTTGGAGAACTTGAAACTGCTGAAATCTGCAAGTCCCAGCTGTGGAGGAACCAGGAAGCATTAATTCTCATTACATAGAACCAAAACCAAAGGTCCATAAGGTGTTCTACTCTTCTTATGTGTCTTTACTCATTCATGGAATAAAGTTCCCAGGGAGGAAGTCTCTACCTGAGCAAGGCAGGAGATTCTGATAATAATTTAAGCAAAAGATTATTTGACATTAAATATGACATTTTTGTCATGTAACTTTCAAATATATCCCATTAATAGGGGATAATTAAAAGGAATAAATAAACAGGTGTGCAAGTTTACCCAAA